CAAAATATAATTATAAATTAATTCATAAATAAATTTTTAACTTTATCTTAATACGTGTGAAAAACCCAAAACATCAATCTTTTTGAAACGGAGGGAGTATGTTGTTTAGGTGTTGCCGTCTTTAAGAGAGAAGCATGATGAAAATATGTTAGAAGAGCTTGTTAAGAGGTGGAATAAGCATAATGTTATGGTTAAATGGTTAGCAAGATTCTTCTATTATCTTGACCGTTACTTTGTCCCTCAGCAAGCCTTTCCAACACTGACAGAAGTTGGTTTGACATGCTTCCACGACCTGGTTCGTCATGCAAATTCCTATAGGTTCTAAATATTTCTAACTCCCTCAAGCATTTTTGTAACCGTCCATGCAATTATTGACCACAGGTTTATCGTGAGATGCACTCCACAGCCAAAGAAGCTGTATTAGCACTTGTAAGTATTTGGTGTTTGTAATGAAAAGATCTCTGGTTCAGCCTAACTGTTGTTTCTATGTAACACATATTGTATCTGCCAGATTCATAAAGAACGGGAGGGCGAAGAGATTGATAAGAAACTAGTGAAAAACGTCTTAGATATCTATGTGAAGAATGGGATGGGAAATTTGGAAAAATATGAAGACGATTTTGAAAGCTTCTTGCTTCAAGATACTGTTTCTTACTATTCTTGCAAGGTGTCAAGGTGGATCGAGGAGGATTCTTGTCTTGATTACATGCTAAAGGTGTGTCTCCAACTATGTTTTGATTCGATTTCAGGAAAGGAAATATATCATTAACGTCAATAATTTTATAATGCAGTGTGAGGAGTTTCAAAGAGAGGAGAAGGAGAGAGTCACTCACTACCTCCATTCAAGCACTGAACCCAAACTAGTTGAGGTAGGCTATGATCATATTTCGAAGTTAATCATTTTAGATATGGTTACTTCTGAATGCACATTGAATGCATGTTTCTTCTAATGAATTGTAGGCAGTGAAAGATGCATTTGAAATCTTAAAGAAGGATGGAGGAAATGAGAAGCTCAAGTGACGAAGTATTAAAGATACCCTTAATTCATGAAATGTTTTCCTTCCAATTCAATAGGATTTGCTATTCATCATTTTTTTTCTTGTTTCACTAGCATATTGATGGAACCATATATTTACAAAGAGTTTTCAAAAAAAATAATATTTTACTATATTATTAAATTGTGTCTAAAATTACACTTGTCCAACTTGGGATCGATAAAAATTATTAATTTATGATGATTATTAATTTAGTGAGTATTAATTTATAGAGGCTTTAATGTATATTTGTATGCGGTTGATTCTAATTTCATTTTAAACATAAATTATGTAATTGACTCTATGAAAGATTAATACACCCAATCAATGTACAAAATCATTTGATGATCTAGTTATAGAGTTGAATGATTTCATAATATAGTTAAGACGATAAATAATTCGTTAAAATAGTTTTAAAAACAAAATATGTAGTAACTGGATAACAAGGGTATGTGCCGGGTTTGAACGGTATCGACCGACACCAAGAGAGGGTATCGGTTGACACCATCACTCTTTGGCTTGGCTTCCAAGATCAGATCCTCACTCCAAGTTAGCTAGTAATTCGTACATTTTCTGCAGGAAGCTTCTTGGCTGCTTGTTCTTTGTAGATGGAGCAGAGTTGCCAAGTTCGCGAGATTTATGTAGACGTTGTTGTGGTCTTGACTTACGATGCTTTAAATCGTTAACACTAAGATCTTCTATATAGTCTACAAAGATATAAACTGAAAACCTTGTTCTTTGCATGTTAATGGTTTATATTGCTTGTTAATTTAGAAAGATAGATGGGAGGACCGCTTCACTAAGTATTTGTATTAATACTTACGCATCTCTTTTTGTTGTGGTGCAGAATAAAGAGTAAAATGTGATTGTGGCAAGGAAGAGAAGGATGATGTAGGATCATTGGTCGTTCTATTTATGTTTTGTTATTGTTGGAACCCTGTTTAGAAGTATGTTGGGATTGTTGATTTGCTATTTGATATTAAACTGCTTGGTTATTTATTTTATTGGAGTTGATTGGTTTATTATTTTCGCTGGTTACCTGTTGATTTAATTTGGATTGGTCAATTAATAAGTATGAGGTTATTGGTTAATATTTCTTTTTAAATGGGTTGGGTCTTTTCAGTATGTAACAGCAAACACACCAATTGACTTTTTATACTTATGATATTTAATAAATTATTCAACCTTAAACAATTTTTTTTTGCTACATTTTTTAAAAGCTAACTTATGTATATTAATGATTAAAATTCAAAATATATTAAAATTCTGTAGTATTATATATATATATATATATATATTAAAGGGACTATAATATATTATACATATAAATGAATAAAGTTGATTTTTTAAAAACAATTAAGGAATTTTATTGTATTTAATTCTATTTTTTATGCATATAATTATTTTTAGTGAAAAAAATCGTAGAAGCTTAATTGGCTCTTCTTAAAGAAACTTTACTATGTTATATAAGATATCTTCTAGGCCTTTTTCTTTCTTCGCCGGCAAGCTTCTCTCATTTCTCATACTATTCCGAATCTTCAGGTAAGTGATATCTTAGGTTTTTGTGTTTATGTACATGGTTTTGATCAAGTTAGTGGTACGTAGCCTTCTCCTATGTTTATTTACAGCTCTTGATTACTTTCAAAGATTGTGTCTTTCTTTCTTGGTGATTATTTCTGGCGTAAACGCCATGCATGAATTATTGCGTATCATTTTTTCGTTGTTCTTTTTGTATAATTAGTTTAAGTTTTAAATGCTTACATATGTAAAGTAATGATAATAACCTCTAAATTTCTCGTGTCTACAACTTTATTATTGAGTTTGATTCATTTTAGAAGGATGGCGCCACGACCCACAGAGATAATAGCATTTGAGGAAGGATGGTCCTATATTCATCAGAAAGGTGTTGCCAAGCTGATAAGGATTATAGATAATGAGCCTGAACCACCATTTACTACTGACCAAATTATGGAACTTCACACCTACGTAGGTCATCTTATGTAATGTTTGGAATCTTTATATTATGTTTGTTATTTACAGTTCTGTATGGGTACTTACCATAGTGATTTATTATGTCATTTACAGAATTGTCTACCATATGTACAACCAGCAACCGGATTACCCGCAACAGCTTTATGATAAGTGTCGCCAAGTGATTGAAGATTATATTATACAAACGGTGGGTAGCAAAAATATATTCTTCTTAGCTTTTATAAACTTACGCAAACAAAAACAGTTAATACTTGTTTTATGTGTGGTTTAGGTGTTGTTATCCTTAAGGGAGAAGCATGGTGAAGATATGCTAAGAGAACTTGTTATGAGATGGAAGAACCATAAAACTCTGGTCAAAAAGCTACGCATGTTCTTCTGTTATATGGAATCACGTTTTATTCCATCACTGAGTGAAGTTGGTTTGACACGTTTTCGTGACCTGGTTTGTCATGCAAATACTCCTATAACTTCTAAATTTTTCACTGCCTCAAAAGTATTTTTTAACGGTCCATGCAATTATGTACGTCAGGTTTATGGTGAGATGCAGTCCACGGCAACAGAAGTTGTACTAGCACTTGTAAGTATGTGAAAAAGCTCCGGTCAAACCTGATTCTTGAGTTTTTATATCTAAAGAACTTTGTATTTGACAGATTCATAAAGAACGCGACGGCTAAGAGATTGATAGGGAAGTAGTGGAAACCGTATTAGAAGTCTATGTGGAGAATGGGATGGGAACTAAGGAGAGATATGAAGAGGATTTTGAAAGAGTCATGCTTCAAGAGACTGTATCTTACTATTCTCCCAAGGCATCAATGTGGATGAAGGAGTATTCTAGTTCTGATTATTTGCTAAAGGCATGTCCCCAACTATATATGTCTTTTTAATTCGATTTCAGGAAAGTAAATACATATATTAACTAATTATAGTAACTTTATGTTTCAGTGTGATGAGTGTCTAAAAAGGGAGCAGGAGAGAGTCATTCACTACTTTTATTTGACCACTGAGCCCAAACTAGTTGAGGTTTGTTTCTTTAATTTGTTATCTCTTGTCTTATTTTCTACACAAAATATATATATTTAGAGATACTTTAATTTAATGCATTTTTAGGCATTGCAAGAGGCCTTGAAGATCTTTTACGTCTAACAAAAAAGCTGCAGGGTTGACTTGCAAGTTGCAAGAGTTTGTCATAAAATGTGTCCCATCTAAGTAAATCTCCCTAATAATATCTTAAACTATGGATGGATTAGATGCTTTTGATTTCGTAAACTATGATCATAAATTTCGTACTATAAATATATTAACTGTTGGGCCAAGAACATGATAATGACTCATATATTATTCGAAATTATTCGAAATCATAATTATTTCATATATCATAATTATTCGAAAGCCGTACGATCTTTTTCCTTGTCGTCTATGAATATTTCGAAGGAAATGATATATGACCAGTTTCTAGTTTTTCTTCCTTTTTTTTAAAGATCCGTAGCAATCAGAATAATAACAAACACAAGCAGGTTTAGCTTTATTTATTTTATTTTATATCATTACTTTTTGGATTATGATCTTGGACTATCACGCACACATGCAAGACTCAAAAAAGACTTAAATAAGGTTGGTCGCTGCAGAAGTCGCAGAAGCATGTAACACCGGAATTTCCCCATACGCATTTTCCACCTAGAGCGTTATTGTCCGCTTGGCACCTTGAATAACAAATCGACGGAAATATCCGAGGGGTACAAAAGGGGGAACCAACATTACCACCATATTCTTTCAGACACTCGTCATTTTGCGCTTCTGTCCCCGGCACTTCTGCACATTATATACAGACTGTTAAGCGAATAAAATGTCACACATATATATATATATGCATGCATGATGACTGATTGACTGCAACAAATACACAATGCAATGGATCCTATACATGAATCATAAAGTTAAACAAAATATGCGAGAATACTATGGAGTTTGTTAGTTTACCATTGATGGCCAGAGCCAGGACCAAAAAGATGGCTAGAGTAGAAACTAACTTCGTTGACATGGCCATTCTCTCTTTCACTTTGGAGTTGATAATGTATGTGTGTATGTGTAGCTCTGATGATGCTCAACCCCTGGTTGTGGTGCTATTTATCTTTCTTCCTTGAGACTGACCATTTATTACGAGAATAAATGTCATCACCTAAAATCTAATATGTTGGACCACAAACTCTTGGATATAATCAAATCTTGTAGGCAATATGTTTTAAAGTCGATCACCACCATACATATAAGATATACAGTATGTGTATTTACTTCAATTCAAAATTTTAAGTATCCTTTTTTTTTGCAATCTAGGCCGTATAATATAATGAGACTTTTATGTTCAAGCTCCTCCAACACTAGCTTAGAACCGGTCAACCGGGTCTGCTGTATGTATATGATCGTCACATATCTTTTCATATACTGTATTCCTTTTAAATTGCATGCATGAGAAAAACAAAATATCTTACCGAAGTCCACAACAGTCCAAATGTCTAATTTCTTTTGTTTTTAAAACCGAATACATGCTAAAGTTGGAGATAAAGGAAACTGAATGAAACTTGAGTTCTTTTGCAAATCAGAATTACGGAGCCGGAGGCCGAGCCGCACTTATCATCTAGCCATATTATAATTACTTAAACAAAGTCGTACGATTATTTATTGAGGGAATTTCAAAAATACCATTTTTCCAATACAACTTTTTAAAAATACTTCTCTTTCTAATTTTATCAAAAAGTTACTATAAATTTTGAAATTTATCAAAAAAATTTGTGTAAGCTTATATTTATAGATACAAATTATCTTTATATGTGTGTAAATTTATATATATATATATATATATATATATTTCATAAATACCGTATAAATACCTTTTAAAAATCATTTAAAAACCTTATAAAAACTTTGCAAACCTTTTAAAAACCTTATAAAAACCTTATAAATGCCGTTTAGAACCTTTTAAAACTTTATAAATATTTGGATTTAGTCTCCTAGTAATAATGATGATCTTGATGCACCTTATCAACCATATAAAAGTTTATAATTTTTCATATTTGAAAAGGGTATTTTTGAAAATGGGTAGAAAAGAGGGGTATTTTTAAAACGGCGTACACCAAAAGGAATATTTATCAAAATTTCTCTTATTTATTTTACATTTCACTTATCCATTACTATATATTGTTACTCAGTGGAGCACCATTAACCTTTAGTATTACACAAATCATGACACATAGTGGACATGCAAGATTAAAATACAGAGTAGCTGCTTTTGCGTTTGCGGCCACAGCGTGTACTAACGATCTGGTTTAAGGTTTGTCGCTGCAGTAGTCGCATAAACATTTCATACCACCAGCTCCTGGACCCCTGAACGACATCTTCCTCCCTTCGCGGACTACATTTGTAAAGAAGGCAGATTTCCAAATTTTCTCGTAATTTAACATATAGACTCCTCTATAGTGGTAAGTTTTATAACATCTTTGATGCATCTTTTTTAGAGAATATTTGGAAATCTGCCTTTTTGACAAATTTTCTTTTGAAAAATAACCTCTGTTTTTTTTTTCATTTTTAAATTAATTTTCAGATATATAAAATTACTAAAATAGCCTTATTGAAATTTAATGGAATAAAAAAAATTACAACTAAACAAAACCTTAATTATTATTTTTTATTTATTTTTTCCAAAAATAATCTAGAATTCTAGATACGTCATATTTTCAGAAATTCTAAAAATCCGAACAAAGGGGAGGGGAAATATTTGAACAAATCCAAAAAACAGGCAACTAGATTCGAACATGTGGCTTGAATGATTTTAAAACAATAAAAGCTACTAAGCCATTGTACACTTCAATGGTATACTTTCGTAGTTTAATTAATATTACTTACTTTACGTAAAAAAATTCATAATAGCAAGCATATCCACAAAGCAATCTCTACGTAAAATCTTTTATAAATATTGTAGAATAAGAGTAAAAAAATCAATGAACTCACGTTGATTCATAACATAGTGACGCGGAAAACACAAAGAAAAAGTTAAAATAATGAATTTTTACCTTGCAAATTTTTTCTAAAGAAATATATTTGAATACGCTTAGAGAATTTGGGAATGTATGGCTTTATATAAGTTTATATTAAACAAAAACTATAGATTTGATAATTTCTAGTTATTATTATATAAGATTTAGTATCTTTTTAATAAGCTATTATTATTTAAAAAAATATAATAATAAAAATAAATAAATAAATATATTTTCGAATTGATTTTGTTTATCCTTTAAAATTTGAATTTATAAATAAAGGACTTACATTAAATCAGGACAAAACTGTATTTTTATATATTGAAAAAAATTGTTTTTTTATTTTAAATAGGGTAGAATTCAAAATCACCCAATTTCTTGATCTAGTTGAGCTTTAAGTGCTTAACTCTCACATATTTTATCGGAATCAAACAACAAACATATATTCAGAAAAGGCAACTCGTAGAAGCCCAAGCCTAAGAAGAAGGAAAAAGATGATCATCCTTAAGGTTTCAAACAACAACACCGCTATCTCAAACCGTAAGGTGGCTTCGTCAGATGATCGATAAGGGTTTAGCGGTGTATTTGACGAGTATGGTTACGTCTTCCTTGACTCCCAAGAAATTTATTTCGAGTTTGGGATCTTGTGCAACTTCCAAGGTTTGTAGGGATGTTTGTGGTTTGTGATTCAAGAATGGTGTTTGGGATTGGATGGTTTTGGGCTATGATCCACTTATGGGAGTCACAGATCATTTAGGGTCAGTTTTATAGGTTATGATTTCGAGGGGATGATCACTAGTCTTAATTAGGGTTTTTTAATTTATGTAACTCACCTATATATTCTCGGTGAACTCTAACTCTTAAGTACTAAACTTGTCTGTCTTGCTCCAACGCAAAATTGCAAATCCATGTTTGTAATTTATTATTTGATCAATGTAATAAAGTTTAAGTTTTCTATTTCTTTCTGCTGCTTTAATCCTGAGCTTGAGAATATCTTCTTCTGTGTCAGAGTTTAGCAGACATTGGTCTTTATAAAATTCGGATTCTTATCGTAACACTAACACAAATACAAAAAGTCAATCACTTAATAACAAATCTGTCCATAAACCATACGGCAATGTTCCAACTAAAACCATGTAGTCCCTGCATGTAAGAAAGGAGTTTGAGAGTTAAAAAAATGAGTTTTTCGGAAAGAAGCAAGATCATCTAAAAATACAGCAACAGGCACATTGTGAGGCAACAGACGATTGATGAGCAACCGAACTTGGAAGCTCGAGTTCTTGATTTCAGAAATGTGCTACTGAGACGACAACAATCATCACTCTATTATTATGCCATCTCTTCCCATCTTGACAAAACTTTTCTTTCTCTGCATAAGAAGTAAAACGAAATACTTTTAGGAGAGAAACTACACATAAAGACTAAATTCATCTTAGCTGTAAATATGTGAAAACTCACAAACACTTGAAAGCTGTGCACAGAGGAGACCATGGCTACTTCTAAATTGTGACATTCTTTAACAATTATATATTGTGAGTGTGACCATGGCTACTTCTAAATTGTAGCACAAAAAAAAAAAGAGCAATTGATCCAAATCATCAATTAAACAAAACTTCCAAGGTCGATTTCTGAACAGTCGAAAATGTTATAAACAGACTGGTTATATAAGTTATCCTTGATCTTAAAACAACTAACCTTTACTACGAGATAACCAGCCATAAGGTTTATTACATAAGAAAAGATGTCCTCACCTAAATCCTTCGACAAAGCATTAAGGCAGCTTTGTTTGTTGTATGAATACTCCAGGGGCCTGCTTATTGGATAAATTCGATTCCAAATTAGTTTGATTATTGGAGATTCTTATTGAAATCGAACCAGAGGAATGTGTTGGACTTTGTAGTATTCTTCTCCTCCTCTAGACAATTTCTCCTTCAAATTTTTGTCAATATTCAGCTCTTTCAAGGAAGTGATAAATCTAAGCCCATCAGGAACTTCCTTAAACTTTGGACAACAACTAATAAACAGATAATGAAGAAGTGGCATGGAGCCTTCTTCTACTATCCACTCTTCACACTCCTCTATTCCACACAACATGAGGTTCTGCAACCGAGGAAATCCACCGCCCGAACAAACCATTCTCTTCCCACAGAAAGATTGAGTAAATAAACTGACCTCATATAGGTGAAGCAGCTTCTCTAGAATTGGCATTGGATCCTCCACCAAACGACACTCACACAGAGATATGGTTCTAAGGTGAGAAGGGAAATATTTCTCATCAGGAAACCTTGGCATGTATAGTGTCAAATTCAGGTGTTGGAGGTGAACGGAATCTAAAACAAATCCTTCTTCACTATTAGTGGGAGCATGAACCTTGAAATCATATATTGTAAGATTTTCCAAGTGTCTCAGTTCACGTAGTGATGAAGATAGAGTTTTCACAGTACACCTGCCTCTGATACAGATAGAGAGGGCTCTGAGTCGTGTCATACTCTGAAGGTCACTCACTCTCCCATGCTCTGTTGAGAAATTCTCCAATTTCTCCAAGTTGATTAGATTACCCAACTCCATCTTTACCCTATCATGTATCAGAAACGGAAAAGAGAGGTATGTCAATTTTCGTGTCTCTTTCAAAAAATTGGGCATGTAGATTGGATATCTCGCATCTACGCATAAGTTTAAATAGAGCAGCCGCTTCAGGTTCCGCATAGAAGAAGGTACATGAGTTACATATGCCTGATATAAACTCAAATATCTCAAGTGGATGAGCTTCCCAATGCTAGAGGGTAACTTCCCTTCTTCAAACTGGATTCTTGAGATATCTAAAGCTCTCAACAATTGTAACTTCGTAAACGATGAATCCGATTGCATCAAACCTTTTGCCGAGCTGAAAAACAAGAGAGATCTAAGTTTCGGATTCATCTCTCCTCTGGGATGATATGCTTTATCAAGCTGGTGTACTGCGATCCTTCTAGATTTTTGAGGAGATTGGAATTTTACAGGTAAGCGACTGTCAACAATATGTACAAAATTCTCTTCCTCGGCTTTAAGCAGACAAACTTCTCTCATCATATCATGCAAGTGACATGTTTCAAATCTTGAAGTTTTAGCATCTCTTCTTGAGATTACCATGTTTCTCTTCACCAATTCTTCAATGTATCCATCTGTGACCTCTCGAATGGTCGCTCCATCACAATATCTTGGTCTTGGTATTCCTTCTCCTGCCCAGTAATAGGACAAAATCCCAACATTTATCAGAAAATCTTCTGGAAAATGGGCGAGGTAGAGGAAGCAGTGCTTCAAATAAACAGGCAGCTCTTCAAAACTCAGATATAGAACATTGTAAACTGAACTGATATTTCTGTCAGTGAAGGTAGTCCCTCCAACTATGTGAGCTTTAATATTCTCATATATCCTTTTCCACTCATGCAAAGTGTATTGTGCAGCTAACAACCCGCCTAACACCTTAACAGCCAACGGTAAACCTCCACAATGTTTGATCATCTGCTTACCCATCTCTTCCATTTCTACATCAACCTTATATTCTGCACATCATAACCATGTATATTTTGGACATTAAAATCAAGATACGACGTAAGATACGATGCAACAAAGCATAAAATAAAAATTAATTTCTCAATTAACGTCAAAAAAATTGTCCTCCTTGAAAGCTTACCTGCTGTGTCTTTTATAGGAAATACTATCCTTCGGAAAAGAGTCCAACTGTCTTCAACGTTTAGGCACTTTGGTTTAAAAGTCACACATGTTGGATCTGCATGTAAGGCCACTCTCTCGTTGCGTGAAGTAACTAGTACCTTCCATCCTACAATACATTTTAAGCAAAAGGATAAATAATATACGCATATGCCTAGTCAAGCTCTAATTTTTTAAAAGCCTTCAATATGTAGTATGAGATGTCACCTCTTTTTGATGGAAACACAGGCTTTATTCTATCCCAATCTTCTTCTTTCCACATATCATCCAGGACAATCAAAGAATTATTGGTTTCCAACAGTCGAAAAAGTTTGTCCTGAAGATCATCTTCAGTCATATTTGCGTCTTTGTACTCATCATGTTTTGGACTAAGCTTCTGCAAAATCGTCTGCCACACATATTTCCTTGTAAACTGTTGTGATATACACACCCATACAGCTCCATCAAAATGATTTTTTACCATGTCATGATTAAAAACTTGTCGAGCCAGAGTAGTTTTACCAATACCACCCATCCCAGTTATAGAAATTACTTGGCTGCTACATTCTTCCACCAAATAACCAACTAATATCTTAATATTCTCCTCCAACCCCACAAGATCATTTTCATAACTGCTAGGAAATGTTTTACGCATCTCCCTCTGTCTTTCTAGTAGGGGATGTGAATATTCGCCGCCATCAAAAATCATCTGTTGCACTCCAAAACTCTGCATATCGATGATCACCTTGGAGATTCTCTTATTTATACCTCCCATGTCAGAAGCAATTTTCTTGCGGTCCACTATAATGCAGGAAAGTCTTCTCATACGCATCTTGATACCACTTGTTTTGCTAAGCTCTTCCTTTACAAGAAATGTTTCGATTATATCCTCCAAGTCAAAAGCAATTTCTTTGATCTCTTCCACAAAATTTCTCACCGTCTCACTTGCATGTTTCTTAGCATCTGCATCTTTCAAGAAGGACCTAAGCAAATACAAGTTACTTTTTAGTTCAGTGAGCTGCTCATCAACTCCCCTAAATCGATCAGATTCTCGGACAAGGAGGTCCCAAAGCTTCTGAAGTCCAAACAACAAAAGTGTCTCAGCCATAAGTCTCCTGTTTGACAATAAAAATATTAGTTAATAATCACTATAGAAGGATCCTAAGTTCATAATTTAGAAAATATTTTTCGCAAAATTTACAGAAAAGAAAAAATTTGTGGTATTTAATCCACAGATCTTCGTATGAAAAGAGGCAAAAATAAGATGAAATGCAAAATACAAAAGATCCATTAGCTCCTGGAAATACTAATGATAAGAAAAGTAATAATATCAACAACAATTACCTCCTGGAAATCGCTACTCGCTCAAATGATGAAGTATTTAGTAGAACTCTGCTAAAGATCCATTAAAAGACTTGACTTCAAGTCTACACATACCAACGACCAGCTATAGTGAAGATGAAGTGTGAATCCTTAGACCAGAAAGTCTTAAAGGCAATAAACTATAGCTACGTCCCACTTACCACGTGTCGTTCTACTATTTAGTTCATAATTCAATTCAGTTGGTCCACCTTGGTTGTATTCATAATACAAATTTAAATCTTCTTTAGCAGTTTCTTCGTAAAAGCGCAGAGACAGAGATTGTTACTATCAGCACCAGCGACAATATAAACACATTTGACACTGGTTAAACAGAGACAAGAAGAAAGCTTACCTCATCCTTACCAAATCCAAAACTTGCACCAAAGTAAAACGCAGGATAGTGATTGTCGAAAACTTAAAACTTGGAAAAGAAACCAATGAAGCAAACAAGACTGTTTGTTTAGAAATTCTTCCCTAACTCAGACTGTAAAAGGAGATGCATGCACTTATATTATATACTCTTAGCCTCCTCAATAATAAACACAACCTGAAATAAAATACCATAATTAATCCATGCGAAGCAACACTTAACACAGGTGAGGATATAACTCACAAGGATCTTACTTATGATATAGGTTCACCACATCTGCAAAAGAAAAAGAAAAAGCCAAGTTCAAGAAGAAAACTGAAACTATTAGACAACATCTCGGTGAATTCTAGGATTAAACACAAACCAGTTGTAGAGAGTTTGATTTCTATTCTTTGACTACGAAGAGAGAAATTTAAACCCCAAAACATACCCTTGGAAAATCAAAACATATCATACTAATAAAAGTGGTATTCTACTTGAAATCTATAGAATACTACCAAATTATCCTTTCAACCAATATTTTCCATCACACAAAGAAAGGAAGAAAACTTTTACCTTCTCCTCTGCTCTTGTTGAGAGTTTTTATTCTTCATTCAAAGTAAACAAATTGAAAAACTTTTGAAAGACAATAAATTTTCAATCTGTCACTGAAAATTCCAGATATCAAAGAAGTTAGGGTGAAAAGCCAATAACTCCACGCAGAACAGAACAAAGAAAAAACACCCATTGTAACACCAATCTCTTCAGTTAAGTATTCAGACAACCACATGATATCAAAACAATAAAGTCTTGTTTGTTATCTGAGTTCTCTGAAAGAATTAGAGTACTGGAGATAAGTGTAAATGAACGAAGAACAACAACGTAGCCGCTGATGTAGATATCAAAATTCGTTGAAATTGAAGGATAAATTGGGTTCCAAGGCGAAGATCCCAACTTAATTTCGATTCTAGTTTCCCCTAGTGTTCTTCTTGACAAAACCACCACCTCGGATCTGAATTGTGAGATCTTTCTTGTCTCTGAAAGCATTGTTGTTGGATTGAAGAATTTGAAAAATCGTCTCTCAAGGTTGCGACTTTAACAATAAAGTTGCGACTTTTAGTCAGTTAGGTCTGCTCTGACATTTTTATCCAATTTTGGGCCAATACGTAAATACTATTATTTTTGGTACCAATGTGTAAATAAATCGAGGAAACCAAATTTGCCTTATTTTATCAACCCGGTGATCTGAAGAAAAATGGAAATTAGCTAACAAATATTATTAGGAAATTCAAATTTAGAAAACCAAAAGTAAAATTGGAAATTAAAAGAAAATTATACAAAATTTAAATAAATTCTTCAAAAACAAAAGGAAACATATTATTTTTCCTGTATAAATTTCTATTTTTCTTAGCTCAACGATTAATATAATTAAGGAAATATTGGTTCTTCTCAATTTATTATGACCGTTGTGTGGAATTAAGAGAAAAAAAGCATCAATCTTGCAGAGAGTTCTCCTCCTCTATATATTACAGAAGCCTTCTCTATGTTTGATCACTTGAAATTATTATTACATTACTCTCCTTCTCTCTCTTTCTCTCTTACGATTTGATCAGAGCTTCGTCTTCTCTCTATCTCTCTTTCAAGATGGCTCCTCTTCGTGTTAAGAAACCAAACAAGTCGTATGGTCTTGATGATGATTTGAAGACAAAGAGGATCTTTTTCAAACGGATATTTCCGGCTTTTAAGAAGAAAGCTACAGAGCTCTCTGTTCTTTGCGGCAACTCTGTCGGTTTCATCTGTTACGGTCCCGACAACGATCTTCATGTTTGGCCTGAGCCTAAAGATAACCCACAAGCCTTACCAGAGATAGTTGGAAAGTTCAATGCTTTGAGCGATCACAGGAGGATGAGTCACGCTTCCGATCTCTTCGACTTTCCGAATCTCAAGGGTTTGTCGGGTGAAGAGTTGAGGAGCCATCTCGATGAGCTTAACTCTCGTTTAGCTGGAATCAAGCAGCAAAAGATAGGTTTATTAAGAAGAGGAAACTTCAAGCCCAAGATTAAGGAGACGGGAAAAGATGACCATATTAGGGTTTCAGACAAGGGGAATCGATTAGGGTTTGACGAGTTGGGTTACGTCTTCCGTGGCTCTCACGAAACTGTTTCCAATTTGGGATCTTGTGCTGCTTCCAAGGTTTCTAGTGATGTTGCTGTTTCGGATCCTTCTCTCACGTTAGGGTTTTCTGGTGGCGACTATCTTCCGGTAGATTCAGTGCCGACCACAGATAACTATGGGGTTTGTGCCAACGAAGGTGCTTCGGATCTTCGTCGGATGGAGTTTGCTTCAACACTATTTCCTGGCTATGATCGATCAGTTCTGGGAGCCATTGATGATTCTTTTATGGCGAGCACTTACCAAACATCCGTCACAGATAATAATATTAGGACCGTCTTCTAGATTATGATTTTAAAGGGCATGAATGATCACTACTACTTAGGGTTTGAAATCTATGTAATCCACCTCTATATGTTTTTCTTGGTGATTAATCATTATTAGTAGTATCTTAAGTTGCACCTTTTTGCTCCAATTAATATATGTCATCTCTTACTCATCTCTGCAATTGCTTCTTCAACCTTAATTAATTATCACAAGATATCACTAACATTCATTTTTTTTTTTTTTTTCTTTTTTTTTTTTTTTTTTTTAAAAAAAAACGTAATTATATAAAGCCATGACCCTAAAGTCATACAGTTTTTACAGCAGGAAAATAATACAGACATATGCCAATATTACAAGTAAAATAGAGATGGTAACCAAATCTTCCGCTTTGGTTGGCTTCCTAGAACAACACCAGAGAAAAACTAGCTTTGTTCATGGTTCCCGCGTCCGCGATTCCCGCGTCCACGATTCCCACGTCCCCGATTACCTCTTCCTCGGGCAACAGAAGATTCTAGTATCTCCTTAGCTTTGATGGACAATTGAACCGGTCGTTCACGTAAAATTCGTTTCCCAGATGGAGTTAGTTGATCCATTATTCTCGACTCACTGTCAGAACTATCAGATTCAACCGAATCACTATCTGACTCAACGGAAGCTCCATCTGAAAATGAAGACCCCAAATGGCTAAACCTGTTTTCAGTCAGGACATTTCTTACCTCACGTTCACTAAGAACCACATGATCTCGTGAGCCTGCAAGTTCAGTTTCTGTTGCATCTGTGCTAATAACCTCAGGTACAACTTCAGCTTCAACATTTGTGTGGCATTCGGCCACTCTGGTGCGTTGATCTATGACTTGGATTGGGCCAGCCTCAACTACTAGGGCTGTATCATTTTGGATTTTTGTGACTGTGGTAAGAGAAACTACTTGGGACTCAGTTTGAAAAGAGATTGGTGATACCAAGACTGTGGCATTGGTGATACTTTCAATAGCGGGAGAGGTAACCTCTTTTGAAGCCAACTTGTTAACTTTTTCATTGGGTCGCATACAACGGGATGCCTTGTGTCCTAGCTGTCCACAATCTCCACATATAGATGGAACCCAAGCATATTCGACATTTACCATGGAAATGTTTCCTTTTTTGTCAGCTGCAGCAATCCTAGGAGGGAATGCTTTACTCAGCTCCACTTCCACCAATATCTTAGCCTCACCCATTAGTGAAGGATCAAGTCTTGGTTTATATGTAGTCACATCGGCTGATGGTGATGAACACTTCTCCGGCGCCTGAAACGGCGAAGGTAGTCACATCGGCTGATGGTGATGAGGATGAACCAGTGTCTTCAAGCAAGTCCCCATTTGCTCCCGTGGAAGTTGTTGATGTAATCGTCAATCACAATCCCGCTAATTTGGGTTCTCCACCTCTAAAAGGAGCTTGGACGAAGAAGCTAAAATTCATCTCTTCATCGGCCTCGCAACAAGCTGCAAGTGGAATCACGGTTCCTGGTCTGGGGGCATCCGTTCCTAAATCATCAAAGGAAGATAATCTGAGATTTCCTTGGGCTGCTAAAATGGATCCGGCAGCAAGAAATCTTTACAGAGCTACCTCACCGGAGTATATGGAAGACGGTACCCCAAAGGTAACAATTCCAAGTCATGTCTTGTTGCAAGGTCTTGAGAATCAGAAGGAATATGTTCTAGGTCAGTTCTATAGATGTAGTCCTCCTCCTAGTGGCTTAATTCATGCTGTGATAAATAGAATTTGGGGTAAGAAGTGTAGAATTTTTATGCGCAAGCTAGATAATTCTAAATTTCTCTTCCATATTCCGGATGCTTCAACCAGAGCTTGGGTTCTTCAAAGAGGATTATGGCATGTTGATGATTGTCTTATGTTTGTTGCTCCTTGGTCTGCTGCAGATACATTTGATATCCCAGAGATATCGACCATTCCTGTTTGGGTAACACTTAAAAATATACCAAACAGGCTGTACTCAATTTCAGGAATTAGCCATATTGCATCAGGGTTAGGTGCTCCTATGGCTACACACTAACATTCATATTACATAATATATAGATCTGTCTTGTCTAACTAATTGACCTTACTTATACTGGAGATAGTAACATTTAGTTCTAGAGATAGTATATATAGGATTTGACAAATAACATTTAGTTTGAGAGACATCAATGTTTATATAGTAAAGATTATAACATTTAGGTACTTTTATCTTACACATCATTATTCTAATTATTCATCTTGGAAATGAATAATCTAGGGAAAGGGGCAAAGGTGGACGCCGAGAGCGGTGAGGTGGACATCAGAGCTTCTTCCATAAAATCCGATGATCTTGGAGCCTGGTGAGTGAGGTTGATTCAGCAGGAGGAAGGCTCGCCATTGGAAAAAAAAGGATATGTTGTTGTTTAACAAAAGAGCTCTGATACCATATAGAGAATAGAGAAATGTATTGTTGTGTATTGAATATGAACGAGTTACAACACATATATATACTCACATAGAATGTGATAAGATGAGATCTAGCCTACCGATATACATAGGAGATATGCTAAGGGATATACTAGAATACAATCTTAACAAGATATATGTACTTATCACTATACATACCGTCTAATAATCCTAACTGTAGGGACTTGTACTTGCCGGCCTTGTGCAACCGGAACGTGATAGAGGTGATGTGACTCTCAGTGTATGTCCCCTCTACGGCTTCAATATAGTCGTCTTTAGCAACTATAATCTGTATAAAAAATCATAAAAATATATTACATAGTTCTATATATGAAAATATAAAGTTGGAAAAATATATAAGAAATTTCACCGTTCTAGTCTCGGTCGTCGAATCCCCATGCGCGTCTCCGGCTACAACTACGTAACCGTTGCAGTAGTAAAACTTGATAAAGATGACTCCAAGATCATTAAAATCTACAATTATTTTATTTACATTGTCGAAGGAACCATCGTCCCACTCATCTCCTCTAACTCCAACGCTCACTTGTATTCCCCTCGGGAGTGCGAAACGGGAATCGACCTCCTGCTGTTGGTTTACACTCCTACCGCTCATCGTGAACGTAGGAACTTGGACCAAACTAGGAAAATAAGTACAAGGACCATACATTTCACCAACCAAATCTTTTATTTCAAATTCATGGAACTTATCTCCCTTGGCGATATAAATATAAGGTTTTCCCTCCTTATTATTACAACATATTACAAGACTCATGAGACTTTTATCTTCATTGATGAAGTAACTTAGCGGGTATGTTACTACTAAACTCGACCATTCAGGAACTAACACACTCATCACATTCACCCACTCTACAGCTTCTCCATCCCCATTCTTAATCTTTTCTTTTGTCACCCAAATCTTAATATTTTTCCTGAAGTACTCTTGCTCTAAAAACGAAAACCGATCTTCCCGAAATACCGCAAGTAATCTAGAATGGTATTGATACACAGTTTTGGTAGGCAATCTTATATAATAAGACAAGATTTCTTCTTAACTTTGGCTCAAAATGCGGCATTTGTCGCTCTATGCTTCTGACATGTGTCATTTCTATTAAATTCTAATCTAACATTTCAAAATTATTTTCTTTATGATATTGTGTGGTAAATTATATGTTATATGTATAGTTTGCTTTTTAAAAAGTGTCATTCTTGCAAAAATAGGGTTTTCCTATTTTTTATTTATTTCTAATCTAACATTTCAAAGAAATATTTTTTTTTATGATATTGTGTGATAAGTTATATGTTACTAGATAACGCCCGCGTAAAAACGCGGGTTAATTTATGTTTTCTCGTATGAACTAAAAATATTGCATGTATTAAAATTTTGAAAATTATAACATTAACAAAAAAATAATCAGTATTAATTGAATATCATATTTTGTAATATAGATTAATTAGGGCCCATCTAGGGTTATTTATTTTCAATACTAAAACTAAAATTAAATTTTTATTGTGAATGTTATATCCAAAGTATTCAAAAAGAGATAAATTTTAAGTAACTAAATTGTTTTTTGTTGAAAAAAATTATTTATGTATCATACATATTTAAAAATCGTAATTAAACATTTACTAAAAAATCTAGTAATGTTAAATTATTGATCACGAAAAAAATTGTGAGCTATTCACCATTTTTAATAATATTGCTATTACCAAATTTTTCAAAAACTTAATTTAGATATTATACCCTTAACATGATTATACCATTATCCTAAAAAATGTTATTTCCTAACTTCCAGATTTTTAAAAGACTATTCTTGCATATTATTTTACTTTGCAATTTATTGTATTTCTTAAAAATTAACATCAATCCCAAAAAGTGAGTTATAGTGTTGTTGAGATAAGCGTTATTTTTTTTTAAATACGAAAGTATAGAAAATTACATATTTTTATTGTAGGTTTATAAATTTAAATTTAAAATATTTTGATATGTCATAAATTTATACATGTCAATATCTTATCGATACAATTGATACATGTCACATTGATGACGAACTTATTTAGATTAACTTACTGAATAAAAATATTTAAATATTACATGAAATTCACGATAATGTACATATTTTCTAAGATTAACTTATAGTTGACTAAATTATTTTATTTTTTTCTTTATTTGTTAACTTTTTTATTCCTTAGACCTAATTTTTATAATTTTTATCATCAATTTTATTTTATAATGATTATCGTTTTTCCTTTGGGTTAACTATTAAGTAATTGTTAAATTTCCTGATTTTTTTTTTGTTTTTTCTATTTCCTGAATTTTTATTTTATTTTTTTCTATTTTGAAAATATTCTTTTTTAAAAACTAATTTAAATAATTTCTTACCACTAATTATCTGACATATGTCAACATCTTATCAATTCAATTAACATGTGTCACAATCTTGTTAATGACTAACTTTGAAAACCCAACTTTATATAATAAGATATGTATAGTTTGCAAAAAAAATATTTTTCCTAGTACACAATATGGTTTAAATCTCTCCATAGAAAAATCAAAAGTTTCAATATACTGCTCACGAGAACGATTAATAGCAATCCAATACAAATTTCCATTCATTGATACACTATAAGGCGACGTAATATCCCGTATCTTGGACGCAAACTCGTACGATTTCCATTTATTGGATCCAATCTCGGTGACTGTAGCTTCCAAGAACATTGTGTTTGTAACAGGAACACGGTGGTTAATAGACCCTAAGATCTTGTAGTGCTTGCCAGGTCTACTATTGTCGTATCCCATCCCATTAAAATGATGAAATAGTCCATTAGATCTAATCCATCTAATCTGTTTTAACCATGGGTTGCAAACCCCGATCCCTTTATTCGTTAAATAAGTAAACAACCCGTCGCAATATTCGATGCTCAGCCCTGAAAGTGAATGAATATGTGAGGGTAAATTATATACCTCTATAGATGGACCTTCAAGATTAACGTCCACGGAAATAATCTTGGACCCGACCGTAAAAAAGATGAATTGTGGACGGGCGAGACCCAAATCGTTGTTAAAGAATCTCCGTTCCTTGAAAAGAGTGTACCATCGTTTGCAAACAGAACTAAATCGAGCGAGAATTTTTGTTGGAAGATGAGAGACTATCTCTTCCTCCAATTCATGTGGAAGTGTCTCGGCTTGTTGCATTGTATATATCCTGGTTATGTTGAAATATATATTGCAATAAGATTATATATAGATGGATGCATCAGGATGTGTATAATAACCATTTAATACTTACAAATACTGGTACTATTACTAAATGAAGAAAATAATAACTATGCTTAATTACAATTTAACAAACAAGAAATATAATTTTGTCCAAAACATTCATTACAATCAGAAAGAAATATCATAAAAAAGAAATCATGACTATATATATGAGACAATTAAGATTGGTTATAATTTATAAAAGATATAAACAAAATAAGTTTCTTTTAGATTGGATATGAGTGAGTAGATTTGTATCATAAAAATAAATAATTATACCACAAGTTAGTAAAGTAAATAAAATCTAGCAAATATTATCCCTCTTTACAACATTTAGAAATGTTTGTTTTGTGTGCTCATTTTCAAAAATACCTCTAATTAAATCTGAAAAAATTATAAAGTTAACAAGATTTATGATGTACTTTTGGATGGTAACTACTACTCAGAATTTAAACTTGATTAAAATATTTATTAAATTTTATAAATATTTTATAAATTTTTACAAGTTAATTATAAAGTTTTACAAGGTATTTTTATAAGATATTTATAAAAGTTTCTAGGTATTTTAAAATTTTACAAAATATTTATAAAGTTATACAAATTTTTTTTTTTTTTAACGAGTATTGTTGTGGCTCGTTTGTTTTAGACACAATGGAATTTCACGAAAAGTTAAAAGGACCATATATAGAGTTCACACCTTTTGTTTTGTGGAAACAGAGGATTTATAAGAGTTCGGGCTGTGTTGTCACATATATCGTCAAAGCACAAATCACATATTTACTAGTTTTGAGAAATTTCAGCTTCGATGGTTACATCTTTTAAGGTTATATGCTCCATATATGCAAATCATATAAGCTTTCATTCACATTTTTTTGTTTTAGTTTATATATTGTCTCTTAACATTTTCTCTAGATTGAAAAATACCAAGTTTCAAATTTCTTTTTTCAAATTGGTGTACATATATTTATCGGTTTAGCTTCTTTGGTTATTGATCTTTTGTCAACAATTTATATTTAATTCCACGATCTTTTAAGATTGTGCTGTTGTGCACATCGGTCGTTCACCAACATTATTTGTAATTCAAACTAGCCAATTAGAAAAAATCATGATGCCCATGTCACAACCAAGACCGTTGCAAACGACGTCGTTTAAGAGCTGAAAACACGAACAAGTCCAGCATGGCGGTGTTTTTCGAGTAATCAATTAATAAAATCCATTTTAACTCTCACGCGCCAATCTTCCAAACGTTAATGTATTGTGTATTTGGTGTAAATTATCTAATGGAACATCACTCGACGATGAATTAATATGGTGGGTGTTTTTAATAAATGATTTGGTGTTAAAATGAAAAATTATTTATCATTTAATCATGACTTCTAATAGTTTTTTTTTTAAATTCAACATTATAGGTTATACGATTTGTAAATGTATTGGCCCATAATAAAAATATTATTGTAAATGTTTATTAAAATCAAGTGCTGTTTTTTAGTATTAAAAAATACCATCAGATTCCAGGTTATTCAAAATATTATCAGCATAAGGTGTATAATTATTTTAAAGTGTTTTTAGAGGGTTCTTAATTATATAATTTAAAACTTTTTATTTTAATTAAGATTTATATATATAATTAATAAAAGAGGTTTTGAGTCTAAGCATGTATATTTTCTCTAAACACGAATAGATCATTTACTATGAGTTACTTCCAACTGTCATTCAAACTACGAACCTCTAAATTTCGTATGAGAAGATACTTTACCGATTGAAATATTAGCATTTAGTGATTACATTCAAGAGTCATACAATTTACTTAATAAAAACTTACACAACTATCAACGAGACCAGAATTATGACAGAAATACAAGTTAGATCACCATGTGAACTTTAATAAAAAAAATTTCTGAAAGTAACCAAACTGAATATTCTACTAAACTTGTATCACTAGTACAAACAAAATATCTTAATTTATATAAAGCAACAAGAAGATAAAAGAGATCATGGACTGTAGCTCTACTTTAAATGTTATCATCTTCACTACAATCTTCTTTGTCAGATGAAAATTGAAAAAAACAAGACACTTAATTATATTATCGCCTCTTTTCTCAAAATCATGACCTTCTCATAATCTTATAACTATTTTACTATGATTTTAGGTTCTTATTATAGAAATTGTTGAAAATTTATGCTTGTTTATAATAGTTATTTCAGTTATATCACTGTTTACTAGATATATAATCATATTATTATATTTATTAACACAATTTTATATATATAAATGAAAAAATAGATTAAATAGGCTATAAACAAAGATAATTCCTTTATATTTTTTACATATATATATATATATGTTATGAACAAAGATTATTCCATATATGGTAAGTAGCTACCATATATGATAGCATTTCATAACTATTAAACTGCCACAAAATTTTTTTGTACTTGTTTTGCATATCATCATCATTCATATTATACGACATTATCAACAATCCTAGTTAAACTATCATATTACAACGTGTGTGTTTTTTCTTCTATTTATAAAAAAATTTCCATGGCTCGAAAGCCTAGAGATTTATTTATAATCGATACACTTATCACATATATTGATATATAGATTTAGAGCTTGATAATCGAATCTTCATAGATTATAAGATGGTTTATTAATTGTTAGACACATGAAAAGTCTGATATTATGAGTTTTTATATCCATGTACCTCAAGGTAAAAACTATTTACTAAAACAAAACAAAAAAACAATTTGTTTTTTTACTTTCTTTCTTTAATGAATGTTATAGTTTATTCAAAGCCATTTTTCTTTCAAGTTAGGTGTTGAGAAAAAAGATATGCCAAATTTTTGCCTCAAATAAGATTTGTTTTGCAACACGTACAACGATGGTGCACCATATTCTATTTTACTGGCTACCTCATGTTTGGCTTTCGTAAAAATGATCCTAAAGTTAAAGAATATAAGGTTCATTATTCATCTAGCTTGCCTTGAAAACTCTAGTAATGACCTTAATGTGTGTAACATCAAGTGGATTTGGGGGCAAATGATAACTGGAAATGGACCCTTAAGATAGTTGAGGATGTAATCTCTTTAAATTTGTATTGTGTTTCCTAGTATTTCAATTATTAAGCTATAATCCTTTTTAATTTGTATTGTCTTTCTTAGTATTTCTAATGATAAATAAAACTCTTTATGTATTATATATCTATGTTTATGTTTTTATCATGTACGTGGCACTAATCACCAACAATACATTTTTGCAAATTTCTTTTCGCCGTCACTAGACAACATTAATTTTACATTTCTAACGAATGAGTTTAAGATTGTTTTGAATATACAAACTGAGAATGAATTTGTATTATGATTCGCAACTAATAAGCCAAATGTCATATCAATATACATTTCCACGACGCCTAGAAAAAATATTGAGAAATAATTATATAATTTTTAGTTTCTATATATAAGATTAGAGGTTTCATCATTCATGGATACAATTGCTTTTCTCGAATCAATACAACTTGATGTTTTAAATGGCATACAACAATGTTCGTGTTTTAAATGGCCAAAATTGAAAAATTCATGGTTTTTTTTTACATTTTTCCGATATATTTTATGGCATAATTGTATTTACTGAAACTCACGCGGAGTAATCGCGCGTCGAAATATTCTTCAACGCGGATGTTGTATTTTCTCTGCATTTTCTTGTACCAACGCTGATAAATATTTTTCTTTTTCCTTTTTTTTTGTTTAGCAAATTTTCAAAATTAATTAATTTTTATTTTAATTTTCTCAACCCAAAGAAGGAGAGACTTTTGTGAGACGACGAACAAAAGCATTGGAAACGGAAGAGAAGGCTGCTCCTTGGTCCTCTCTGTTTCTAGTTTCTTACCCGTCGATTCAGATCTCTCTCCCTATAGCGCCATCGAATCTATTAAGGGTGACGAATTATAGTGGTGAAGTCGAAAATTCGAATTTCGTTGGTCGACGCGACACCTGTTGGATTGGATCGGAGGTGAATCCGATATGGTTCGATCGGGTAGTTTTAACGTCGATTCGTCTTCGGCGAGTCATCGACGGACGCCGTCTAGGACGGTGACGTTAGGTCATATTCAGCCTCAGGCTCCGAGTTATCGTACCGTTTATTGTAATGATCGAGAGTCTAATCAACCCGTCCGGTTCAAGGTACGCCGGATATGCGCATTGGAATTTGTGCAGTTTGGGTTCATCGATCTGATTTGTGTGTTTTTTTTTGTATTCTGATGAATGTTTGGTTTAATCGTTTCAGGGTAATTCGATTTCGACAACAAAGTACAATGTTTTCACCTTTCTGCCAAAGGGTCTGTTTGAACAGGTATTTAAATACGCATTGTTAAAAGCTTCTAGAGGTTGTTAACTTAGCTCCAGCGTGTAATTAGGAGTTAGTCTTTTCTAATATGGTAGAAGTTTAGTGGAACCCTTGGATTTGCTAGCCGAAAAATTGTGCCTTTTTTCGAATAGTGTGGATTTACCAATGAGATTCCAACATTTAAAACAGTTGCAGTCTTTTCCACAAGAAGATTTTTGTGATTTTGTGATGATCTTTGTTGTAATGTGTTTCCTGACAGTTTAGGCGCATAGCTAACATATACTTTCTTGGAATTTCGTGTCTATCAATGACACCAATAAGGTATGTTAACTCCATAAACACTGTCATTATGTGTTGTCTCGTGTTATTTGGAATTTTGTTCTAGTTGGATGAATTTTGCTGATTAATTCATGCATGGTAAACAGTGTTATTAACTAGATAGATTGTTTGTCCTGCAGCCCTGTGAGTCCAATAACAAATGTAGCTCCCCTGTCAATGGTGCTTCTTGTTTCTCTGATTAAAGAGGCTTTCGAAGACTGGGTATGCTCTTCTGTCCTTCTTTTTTTTTTTATATTGCCGAAAATATTCCATT